ATGCATGCCACAAAATATTTGTTGGTTTTCCACCAAATGGGAGAATACTAAGGCGCATATTTACATCTCAGGAAGATTTCACCTGAACATTAGGAAGAACCTCCTGACCATAAGTTTAAAGTCTTATAGTTATATGATTGATAGCTATAAGTTGTAAGTAATTATGTTTGTTAGATTTTATTGTGATTTGTTTGTTTAATTTTCTGCTTGTGTGACTGTTATCTTGTATTCTGTGTTGTAAGCTGCCCCAAATCCCTTTGGAACGAGGGGGAGGGATATAAACAAAGCATTATTATTGTGATTATTATTATTAGAGCTGTTCAACAATGGAACTCTTCCATTGCCTCAGAGTGCGATGGAAGCTCCTTCCTTGGAGACTTTTAAACAGAGGCTGGATGGGTTGCTGTAAGTTTTCCAGGCTATATGTCCATGTTCCAGATGCATTCTTTCCTGATGTTTAACCCACATCTATGGCAGGCATCCTCAGAGATTGTGAGATCTGTTGGAAACTAGGCAAGTGAGGTTTATATATCTGTGAAATGTCCAGGGTGGGAGAAAGAACTCTTGTCTGTTTGAGGCAAGTATGAATGTTGCAACTGATCACCTTGATTAGCACTGAATAGCCTTGCAGCTTTAAAGCTTGACTACTTCCTTAATGGGGAAATCCTTTGTTAGGAGGTGATTAGCTGGCCCTGATTACTTCTTGTCTGGAATTCCCCTGTTTTTGATTGTTGTTCTTTATTTGCTTCCCTGATTTTAGTTTTTTAATAGTGTTCGCCTGACTTTGTTCATTTTCATAGTTTCCTCCTTTCTGTTGAAATTGTTCACCTGATTGTGGTGGCTGGGATGCTTTGTTTGTGCATGACAGAATGGGGTTTCCCTGGATGGCCAATGCGGTCTAGTCCAACTCTTATGATTCTATGAAAACACATTAATGCAGCATTTTGTTTTTTTTTCTTTAAGTGGCTGCCAAAACTTATTCCTTCTTTAAAAAACTTTTTATTGTAGTTTTACATATTCAGTGTTTAAACATTCTTATACTTATCACTTCCCCTTGGCAAATTGTATACAAAAACTCTTCCATGTTATCCCTGCCTCTGGTATCAAAGTTGCTGCTAAAGAAGTAAGGCTTAGGAATGCATTGCCTGTCCTTAGAAAACTATCATTCTACTATCTTACAATTCTATTTTATTAATACCACTATTCCTCCACGCTTCTCTCTGAATCGAGACCCAGAGTGGTTATATCAGGCGTGGGCAAACTTGGGCCCTCCCTCCAAGTGTTTTGGACTTCAACTCCCACTATTCCTAACAGCCTCAGGACCTTTCCATTTCTCCCCAAGGCAGTGGTCCTCAACCTGTGGGTCCACATGTGTTTTGGCCTACATCTCCCAGAAATCCCAACCAGTTTACCAGCTGTTAGGATTTCTGGCAATTCAAGGCCAAAACATCTGGGGACCCACAGGTTGAGAACCACTTCCCTAAGCGGCTGAGGGGAGAAAGGAAGGGGCCTAAGGCTGTTAGGAATTGTGGGAGTTGAAGTCCAAAGCACCTGGAGGGAAGGCTCAAGTTTGCCCCTGCCTGATCTACACTGTTATATAACTACACTGGGTTATACTCATGTACTTAGGAGCAAGCCCCATGGAACTCAATAGAACTTGACTGCTGTGGGTCTCAGGCAATCCGCCACGTTCCCTTCCACGGCAAAGAGTGGCGCAGGGCCCAAATACAGGGCAAGACAACCCCAAAACGATGCCGCCCCGTCCCCGAATGAGCCTCAGGCCAAACTCGGGGCTCTTCTCACCTGAAATTACCGCCAGCAGCGCCGACATCTTGGAAATTCACGAAGGGGCTTCAAGGCGCCCTCGCTTCTCAGGGGCCTAGAGCAGGAAGAGGTGCCCGCGACATGCCGGATCAGGAAAAAACCTTCTCTTCACAGAAAACTCGGCTAATAAAGGGCAAATGCAAATTATAAGCATTCTCCATTATTTTAGCCACATGTAGGAGGGTATTGCTTTAGTTCATTACGACAAAAGCGCTCAAATTGCACGACCGGAACGCAGGCACGATTTAGACGCCTAAGATCGAAACATGGAAAGAACTTTGGGATTTGTAGTTCTAGGCCCACCGGTAGAAAAAAGGGCGGGAAAGTCGAATTAGAAACCCTTTTCTTGCGGAAGAGGAAGGTTTTTGAATCTATCTTGCCAAGGAAACCCGTGATAGGGTTGCCACAGGTTGGAAACTGCTTCAAGGTACACAACAATAAGGCCTTGTTGAACAGAATGGTTTGATGTCATGTCCAAAGCTTTCATGGCCGGAATCACTGTGTTGTTGTGAGTTTTCCGGGCTGCATGGCCATATTCCAGAAGCATTCTCTTCTGACGTTTCGCACACATCTATGACAGGCATCCTCAGAGATCGTGAGTTCTGTTGGAAACTGGACAAGTGGGGTTTATATTCTGTGGATTGTCCAAAACTCTTGTCTCCTTGAGGCAAGTGTGAATGTTGCAATTGACCACCTTCATTAGCATTGAATGGCCTTGCAGCTTTAAAGCCTGGCTGGTTGCTGCCTGCAGGAATACTTTGAAAGTGTTAGCTGGTTTAACTTTTCTGAGTATTCTGCAGATATTCAAGTCCTCTTATATACAGTGGCGTAGAAAATAGACATCCTTTATATAAAACATCCTAAGTGGTTTTCAACCTGGGGTCCCCAGATGTTTTTTGGCCTACAACTCCCAGAAATCCTAACAGCTGGTAAACTGGCTGGGATTTCTGGGAGTTGTAGGCCAAAAACATCTGGGGACCCCAGGTTGAAAACCACTTGTAATGTTCGTTTGTGGGATTAACATAACTCAAAAACCACTGGACATATTGACACCAAACTTGGCCACAAGACACCTACTAACCCAAGGAGTGACCATCACTCAAAAAAAATTATTTTGTCATTTGGGAGTTGTAGTTGTTGGGATTTATAGTTCACCTACAATCAAATAGCATTCTGAACTCCACCAATGATGGAATTGACCTAAGCGTGGCATACAGGACTCCCATGACCAAAAGAAAACACTAGAAGGGTTTGGTGGGCATTGACCTTGAGTTTGGGAGTTGTAGTTCACTTACATCCAGAGAGCACTGTGGACTCAAACAATGATGAATCTGGACCAAATTTGGCAGGAATACTCAATATGCCCAAATATGAACACAGATGGAGTTTGTGCAAAATAGACCTTGACATTTGGGAGTTTTAGTTACTGGGATTTATAGTTCACCTACAATCAAAGAGCATTCTGAACTCCACCAACGATGGAATTGAACCAAACTTGCCACACACAACTCCCATGATCAACAGAAAATATTTAAGGCCATCCAGTCCAACTCTCTTCACCAGGGCAAGAAAACGTAAACAAAGCCCTCCTGACAAAGAGCCATCCAGCCATAGATATATATGATTTACACACAGAGAGAAATATAGTATCAGATTTGAAAGGGACCCCTAAAGGACAATAATATGTTCCAGAGTAGGCAAACCAGGCAATCTCCACATCAGCACTGACAAAGAAACAGCAAGAAATACTGTTTACCCAGAAGCATAAAGAAATTACATATATTAGAAACCAACACTTTCTCATTACTTTATTTTCCAGATCACCAGACTGGGCCACAGCAACTTGTGGCAAGGGACGGCTAGTATAAAATAAATGTGTACTTAAATAAATGGTCAAGCCATGAAGGATCTGTGAACACAGGAGGGTGACTTGTTCCCAGCGATCCAAACTACAGCTCCCACCATGCACAGCGTTTTCCAGTGCTCTACTTCCTCTTCGTAGCCTTGCTGTTTGCCGCGCATGCGTGGTGCGGTAACCCGAACGGATGTTTATCGCCTGCTGGAGAAGGAGAGGGGCGCGTGGTGAAGCGGCTGTGGGTGAGTTAGATGCATTTCTGATTTCCAGGGATATAATCGAAAACAACGGAGAGGTGTTCTAGGAAAGATATTCTTCTATCTTTGGAGGGTCTTCTGTTCTGTTGGGGATGCTGACTGCCTGTGTGGATAGAAAGCCACTGCTGGCTTCAACAGACTACCTCAAAGCAGGCCTTTGCAAGTTGTAAGTGATGGTAGAACAGGCATAACACGCTTAAGCGGCTGAGAGGGAAAAGGAAGGGGCCTGAGGCTGTTAGGAATTGTGGGAGTTGAAGTCCAAAACAGCTGGAGGGCCCAAGTTGGCCCATGCATGTGGTAGAACAGTGGTTTTCAACCTGTGGGTCCCCAGATGTTTTGGTCTTCAACTCCCAGAAAGCCTAACAGCTAGTAAACTGGTTAAGATTTCTGGGAGTTGTAGGCCAAAACACCTGGGGACCCACAGGTTGAGCACCACTGTGGTAGAGGATCTCTTCTGTTTGTCCTTTCTGTTGTTCTGGGCCTCAAACTACTTCCAGTTGCAAATTCCCTTCTGCTGTGACCAATAAGAGAAGAAGCCAAAACTAGGAGAGGCTTCTTCTCACAAAGCAGAGCCAACCTAAAGAAATGAGGCTACAAAGTGGAATTCACGACATGCGATGTAGGGAAGAGCAAACCACAGACAAACCTACTACAATTCAGCCTGAGCCCTGCCACATGCACAATGGAGGACCTTCTTGCAGCAACACCAGAGGCACTCCAAGTGGTCAGCTACTGGTCAAAGGACATTTAATCAACTACCAAGCTTGCAAACTTTGTGTTTTGTTTGTTTGTTAAAAATGCAATGCAACTGTTTGGTCTGCCCTGACACGATAAATAAATAATACCTAGTGCAACATTCAGTGTTCCTCACAATTGTAGTTGCAGCCTGACAACATTTTGAGGAATCACACAATTCCTACCAATGATTTAAGCCCCCTTCCACCAGTATAAAATCGAAGGATAAGCTGATCTTATATTTTGCTCAAGTGCTGGCATTTTCTTCCCTTAGAACACAATTAAAACTTGCCACTTTCTTCTCCAACAGCTGTCACTACAGAAAGGAGAGTCCTCTTGCTGATTTCCCTTTTCCCTTCTTCCCAGGAGCATTGTTTTTGCAGGTTATCATGTTTGTGTTAGTGGAGATGACAGATACCGTGCGGATCCCTCCATGGCAGTTTGAAAGGAAGCTTAATGATGCCATCACTGAAGAGTTAAATAAGAAACTGGCCAATAAGGTAAACTTTGCATAGTTTGTCTCACTACTATAATGTCACACTGATTCTAAAGACAGTAAACTTTAGGTGCATACAAATAATCTGTGTATTTATTTGCTTAATCTGTTTTAATTGTTTATTTGTTGGAATACGTTTTTATGACTGTGTTTATATGGCATTGAATTTTACCAGAGCTGTAGGCCACCATGAGTCCCCCAAAGGGGTGAGAAAGGCAATGTACAAATAAGGATTATTATTATTATTATTATTATTTACTGCTCCATCTTACATATGTCAAAGGCAGATTATTCCCAGTTAAGCGAATGAAGGATTGTGGACAAATGTCATGATGTCGTGTGGACAGTCATGGTGCTGTCTCATATATTTAATGAATGTAGCTGCAGTGCTAGAATTATACACTGTAACATCGCTGTAAGATTTTGATCAATATAAATTTAGTATCTTTTCACTAGTTACGTTTAATATGTAAATGAGCTCCCACATGACATGAAATAGAAGAGTGAAGAGATGTTGAAAATAATGAGAAATTGATAAGGAGACTAGCTACTCAGAAACATGAACCTTCATTTCCCCCTTAACCACCCCCTCTGTTATCAGTCTTTCTTGTTCTTGTAGCGTTACTTGCATATTTGAATTACTTTTATCTATCCAGTTATAGATTCGTTCACCAGTTTGGTTTGTTGGTACAGTTTTCCTTGTTCTGTTTCAAGGGGGCTAACATCTCTTCCAAAGTACTCAACTTCATTGATTTTTGGACTTATTTCTCTAAACAGGTTGTGTATAATGTTGGCCTCTGTATTTGTCTCTATGACATTACAAAGCTGGAGGACTCCTACATATTCCCAGGAGATGGTGCATCACACACAAAAGGTTTGCCTGTTATTTTTCATGTCAATTATTTTTGGATCTGACAACTATGGATCTTCAAGACTGCCCTCTAGGCAACATAATAATTGCTGGGTAGCCACAGCACTCCATATTTTTCTATTATAACTCTGTTGTGCTGATATGTAATGTAGCTGGAAAGCACATTTTTGTGACATAAGAATCTGAGAAAATTATGTTCATTCTCCTTCATCCTTGGTACCATTTTTGCTTAGGACAGGTTAAGGTACCATTTCTGCCATGCTGTATACATTTTCTCATTTAATGCTGGCATTCTCACATTCCATGTTCTATCTTGATGTTCAATCTGTTAACAAATTGGCTTATGCTCATTTGCCTTGCAAGTACATCTGTAATTATTTATAAGCTGGATTTATATCATGCTTTCTCTCGTGCTATACAATGTTGCTATGCTAATTTTGTGCACACGTATGTTTTGACAACATACAAGTGAAACATTAATCTGAGGAAAATCTGCTTCCTTCTTTACAGTGCATTTTCGGTATGTGGTGTTTCATCCCTTTCTTGATGAGATTTTGGTTGGAGAGATAAAAGGCTGCAGTCTAGAAGGAGTTCATGGTAAATTTTTATTATGTTTATTAAAATTCTAGACCTGTGTTCAGATATATCTGTGGGTGGCCTGAAGAGAGATTAACATCATGTTATACCCTAATGGCTTCTGTGTTAATCTAAATGTTCTTCTTGCAGTTTCTCTTGGGTTCTTTGATGATATCATCATTCCTCCAGAATCTCTGCAGCAGCCTGCCAAATTGTATCCTCCATGATAATGAAAGTTTTAAAAATCCATTATATTTATTATTTAAATTACCCGTATAAGCCGGCCTGACTATAAGCCAAGGCACCTAATTTTACCACAAAAACTAGGAAAACGTATTGATTCGAGTATAAGTCGAGGGTGGGAAATGCAGCAGCTACTGGTAAATTTCAAAATAAAAATAGATACCAATAAAATTACATTAATTGGGGCATCAGTAAGTTAAATGTTTTTGAATATTTACATAAAAGTGCAATTTATGATAAGATTGTCCAACTCTGATTAAATCATTATTCTAACCTTCTTCAATGTAAATGTGCTTATGTATCCTGATAATAATAATGCTATAGTAAAATAATTAAAATGTAATTATTTTAATAATAAATAAATAAATTTAAATGTAATACTAAAAATAGAGTAAAATAATAAATGTAATAATAACAATAAATAGAGTAAAATAATAAATTCAATAAAACAATAGAGTTAACTAATGGAAATGTAATAATAAATAGAGTAAAATAATGTAGTAATAATAATAATAACAGAGTAAAAGAATAAATAACTTTGACTCGAGTATAAGCCAAAAAGGGCTTTTTCAGCCTTAAAAAAGGGATAAAAAAACTCGGTTTATACTTGAGTATATACGGTATTGCTATATTGCCTCCCAACACACAAGAGCATCCTGAAGCAATGATAAATAAGGTAGAAAAAGATGGGGTTTGTTTCCAGATCTTCCTCCTGAATACCAAAATCTGTGTATGCTCTTGTATATCCCTTATATAAAATAACAAAATCAAGGTTTTTTTAAGCTATAGATGGTTATTCTGTAGATATGAAGGGCTGACTACTGACTGTACAGACAGTCTTTATAACATTAGCTTCTATTCCAAAGATTGGATAATTTTCTTTAGAAAGACTGTTGAGTTCATGGCCGGAGAGTGAAGACTATGAAATTAAGTCAATGGGGCTGGATCATCTAAATTTCTTCTGACTTAGACTTTTGTAATATGACTCTAGCAGTCTTTTCTTTTGCCAGATTCCTTCCAAACCCCAGTGGCAAACTTATCCATTGAGTAAAAAGTTCCTTTCGCACAACATAGTATGAGCATTTATAACTTTAATCTGCATGATTTGTAGTTATTGTGACAAGTTAAGACAGATGGATGTTTTGAATAAGGAAGCCCATATTTGAGAGAACATTTCCGGCTGTAAATGTGAACTTCATGTTCATCTCATGACACTATTGGCCTTAACCCTCCTTGTGGTTAGCGATGAAGCAGAACAAGTGTGGGTTTGGGAATATGAAACCGAAGAAGGAGCTCATGACCTGTATATGGACAGAGGGGAGGAAATCCGTTTCCGTGTAGTGGATGAAACCTTTATCGACACATCCCCAACAGGCCCCAGCTCTTCAGAACCCTCTACCTCAAGTGCCACAGAGGAGGTGCAGAAAAAGGAAGCCCCCTACACACTTGTGGTAATGATTGCTTCTTTTTCCACATACGGATTTGAAGTACACTTTAGCCAGAGCTTGATATAGTTACTTTTGGATTTCATATCTCAGAATTCTTCAGGCAGCATGGATTTAGAGCTATCCAAAAGGGAGTGAGGTAGAAGAAAATTTAGGTGATAAGCCAATACTTCCTAGTACCCAAGTACTACCTTTAGTATTGTGATAGAATGGAGAACAAAGAGCATGGAAATCTGTAATGCATCTTCAACATAAAAGTGAGTAACACGCATTTGGCAAACAAGTTAGTATACTCTTGAATCAAATTCTGAGTTTAAATAAGGCTACATACCACAAGGTATACTTGATATAAATATACACATTCCTCTTTCAGTTACCACAATTAGTTATAAGAAAAATTCTAGGTGATCTCAGAAAAAGCTCAGAATCAAGACAATAAAATACCACAGATATTAAGTGGATAATGCACATGTTCATTGTTCAACATCTCATTTGTATTTTTTCTCTCTTTTGTATAGGGATCTATCAGTGAACCTGGTCTGGGCCTCTTGTCCTGGTGGACAAATAGTTAGCAAAAAGAAGAAAGGATATTCTGCAAGATGGAAAATTGCTCTGTTTTTGAAACAGCTGTTGCAAAGCTAAAAATATGTTTTCCTGTTTTTTGCTTTGCACTGGATTTATTTCAGTCTGGTGGTCTAGGCCTAGAAAATAAGTGGAAACATTCAGTGCAATATCACCGTTACAGAAGCTTTGGCATTGGCCACATCAACTGAGGAATTTCCGATTTCCTGACCTTGCATTTTAGGTCAGATGCAAGAAAAAAAATCTGAAGAACACTTACCTGGATTAAGATACATGAGAAGAATAATGTTGTAAAAGTAAGCATCCATATTACCGAAAGTGGTTGTTTCCAATAGTAAAGTGAATAACTTGGATGTTCAAGACTAGCAGATTGTGGGGAGAAAGATTGTGGCCTGGATGGGCGTGGATAGGAATTCCCATTTTCTAAATTATTTTGTCAGTTCTTTTCTCAACGAATTAAAAATTCTTGCCTAAGTACTGGTAAAATGAGTGAGTTGGTCTACTGGGAATATGGTCTAAAGAACTGCAGTTAATAAGTTTGAGCAAGAGTGCTGTTCTGAATCTTGCTGTTTTAGTAAGTTTGTGTGTTTAATTTAGATAGCTTCTGCATAACTGCAGAGATGCAAAAACTGTGCTGAAGGCATCTAGAACAGGCATAGGCAAAATTCAGCCCTTCATGTGTTTTGAACTTCAATTCCCACAATTGTGAACAAACCTGGTTTCAGGCCCAACAGATAGATCTGCCATTTAGCAACAGATCTCTAAAACGTGCTTAGGCATATATAATAGAGACTTTGCTGTGCATTAAAAGTAAATGAAGGCATGGGTGACATTCATCCAATTTCTGGGTGTTAAATATAACTGGACAATAAATGTGAGCTATTGGGTAGCAGTAAAATAAGTACAAGAGACAAAATCAGGCAACATAATTTAAAGCATCCCTGTAATATCAGAGGGCACTATCACTGATAAAACCAAAGATAAAACTGCTAGATCATCTTCTGACGGAATTATAACTCTTCAGGAGCATTTAGGATAGAGGTTTAACTTATCAGAGCCTATTATGTCATGCGTGATACCATGCTTGAAGAAGGTTGCTTCTTTTTACATTAGGCTGTCAAGCACGGACTTGAAGCTTGTTCTAAGGTTGAGTGTTATTCAGGATCTGCAATAAATGTAGCTTAGAAGTTTTAAAAAATATTTTTGTACCTTAGTGACATTGCGAGACAGCTCTCCTTTTAGTGATTATTATTTGCTCTGAATTGCTGCCAACCCAAGGTAGTGGTTTCAGCACTAGACGATGACTCTGGATACTGAGGTGCAAATGGTGCCGTAGTGGAGAGACTAGAGGAGGCTGGTACTTCTTTTAGTTACTCCTGGGACATACTAAGCTCTTTCTCATCGCCACTCTATTCAGAGGAGATTATTCCTTTTTCTCTGGGTAGAGTGGTGAAAAACCTTTTTGAATGCAAGAGTGGTATAGTCTCTGACCATATGAAGAAAAGCTTATGATGGCACGGATGCTTTCCCTTCTCTGCATAATGGGTCATATAAAATCCAAATTTTGGGCATTAATACATGAGCTTATATGATACAATGCAAGCACTGGCAACTTCTAATTGGGATTGCAGCAGCTTCAGGACAGGATATCTGAAAAAATGCTGTCAATGCGTATGTACCTGCCAAATATTTGAAAATGTCAAATAAAACTGTTGTGTGTCCCAACACCTCTTGAAATTACATTCATGGGTACATGTGTTTTCTCTGTAATACCCCAATTGTGGAGCTCCCTATCCAAACAGTTAGGCTGACTTATCTCTTTTGAGCTTCTATTGGACAGCCACAACAGTACTGTTTTGTGCAATTGTCAATGTGTCAAATTATCTTCGTTTTTAAAATTGTATTTTAGGACTTTTAAATGCTTTTCTTTTTAATATATTATTATATATTTTAAAATTTTTGTACTATTTTAATTGCTCTATTTATTCATTGCTTTGAAGGCCGTTGTAGGCTGCAAGCTAATGTGTGCATATTCCCCTTAAAATCACCTATAATGCCAGGAATTTAATAGTGTGCTCTTAAACCAGTGGTTCTCAACCTGTGGGTCCCCATGTGTTTTGGCCCACGACTCCCAGAAATCCTAGCCAGTTTACCCGCTGTTAGGATTTCTGGGAGTTGTAGGCCCTGGGGACCCACAGGTTGAGAACTGCTGTATTAAAAATTAATAGAGGTGGGTCTGCTGGTCCCTTCCTTTGAAATACAGACTATAGCACCTGGTATTTGGTTGTCTCCAATGCAAGTACTAACCAAGGCTGACACCTTCCAAAATCAGTCAGGCTCTAGTGGGCTGTGAGAGTATTTAGACTGTCGGGAGGTGATATAAAAATATTGTAAACAATAAATTAATAAATAACTTCACCCCATACTAAAGTTAGCATTTGTTGTGTACCTTCAGGTTGCTTCCAGCTTATGGTGACCCAAAGGGAAGCCTATCATGGGGATTTCTTGGCAAGCTTTTTTCTGAGGAGGTTTGCATTTGCCTTCCTCTGACTTTGCGATATGTAAAGAACCAACAAAAAGTTGATGATTGGTATAGGACTACATCTGGGAAGCTTCGAGCAAATCACAGCTTAGTGTATGACCTTGGACTAGCTAGACGGTGATTTGCATAGTAAAACAACAACCAAAACCAAGTACTTTAGATTCTGTAAGCCAGGGACTAATGTGTATCTTTAAAACCCCAATTCTCCTTATTATTCTTCAACTTTCAACTAATTGTGGATTGCCCAGTTTTTAAGCAGAAGAAGGATGGGGAACATTTTGCTCATAGGGCAGATAACACCCTGCAAGAGCTTTCCATTAATTACATGACATGTTTACATGCTTATGCTTTGATCTAAGGTAAGAGGCTGTTTAAAGACCAAGATGTTGCTAGGAATTGTGTTGTGCTTTGCAGTCCACAAAACGATTGGTTTGGGCCAAACACATGCATTCGAATAGTGCATGTTTTTTGAGTGTAAAAACTTGCTCTTAAGTAAACCTGTGTAAAATTAAACAGACAAGCAGGGAAGTGTCCAAACAGGTAGAAATGACATCTGAACCCATCCACTTTATTTTATTTGATACTTTCAAACAGCATTGTCACTGGCTGTGTATAAAACTGAGTGAAGTTCAAAGTAGACCATCCCACCACTCTGTTCACAGCAGATATGCATAGAAGCTCACTGCTAGGTGTCTTTTAGAGTGTGTCTATATTAGAATTAATACAGGTTGACACCACTTTAACTGTCATGGATCAGTGTTGTGGGAGCTATAGTTTGGAGAGGCACCAGCACTTGGGTAGAAGCTAGAGACATTGTAAAAACTACAGTTTTTATTATTCCATAACACTGAACCACAGCACTTCAAAGTGGTGTCCAACTGCATGAATTCTACAGAGTAGATGCACCCTCATAGCAGCCACTCCCTCGGTAGTTATTGCACTGCTCATCAATCCCCAGGCCCCTCCTCTTCCATTCCACTGCTATCAGTGGAATTCACTGCATCATTTTGAGATTTGTTGACTACCGTAGACATTTCCTTTCTCAAGTTTATCTGAGTAAGCTGAATGCACAGGTTTCAGCAAAACGGTGAATAAATATAATCTGAAACCAGCGACAAAAGGTTATTTTGTGCAGGAGAGGTGGGGCCATGGAATGCATTTGCGCACATGCGCTGTGTCATTTTCTACTTTTTTTTGGATTTTAACATTTTCACTTTTTGGTGAAACTGACCATGGAACAACAGACTGGTTCAAGATTGGGAAAGGCGTACGGCAAAGCTGCATACTCTCACCCAACCTTTTTAACGTGTATGCAGAACACATCATGCGATGTGCGGGGCTTGATGAATGCAAAGCTGTGGTGAAAATTGCTGGAAGAAACATTAACAACCTCAGATATGCAGATGACACCACTCTGATGGCCGAAAGCGAGGAGGAGCTGAGGAGCCTTCTAATCAAGGTGAAAGAAGAAAGCGCAAAAGCTGGGTTGCAGCTAAACATAAAAAAAACCAAGATTATGGCAACAAGAATGATTGACAACTGGAAAATAGAGGGAGAAAATGTGGAGGCCGTGACAGACTTTGTATTTCTAGGTGCAAAGATTACTGTAGATGCAGACTGTGGCCAGGAAATCAGAAGACGCTTACTTCTTGGGAGGAGAGCAATGTCCAGTCTCGATAAAATAGTAAAGAGTAGAGACCACACTGGCAACAAAGATCCGCCTAGTCAAAGCCATGGTATTCCCTGTAGTAACCTACGGATGTGAGAGCTGGACCTTAGGGAAGGCTGAGCGAAGGAAGAGAGATGCTTTTGAGCTGTGGTGTTGGAGGAAAGTTCTGAGAGTGCCTTGGACTGCGAGAAGATCCAACCAGTCCTTCCTCCAGGAAATAAAGCCCGACTGCTCACTGGAGGGAAGGATACTAGAGACAAAGTTGAAGTACTTTGGCCACATCATGAGGAGACAGGCAAGCCTAGAGAAGACAATTATGCTGGGGAAAGTGGAAGGCAAAAGGAAGAGGGGCCGACCAAGGGCAAGATGGATGGATGGCATCTTGAAGTGACTGGACTGACCTTGAAGGAGCTGGGGGTGGTGACGGCCGACAGGGAGCTCTGGCGTGGGCTGGTCCATGAGGTCACGAAGAGTCGGAGACGACTGAACGAATGAACAACAACAACATATTACAACCTTATTAACATTACATATAATATACTAACAATATTACATTCCAATGTTATTCTATAACATATTATGATATTGTACATATTTGAATGGCACTGAACAAAAAAGCACCTTTCCCAAGCTCTGGGTGCAACTACACGGTAGAATTAATGCAGTTTGGTGCCATTTTAAGCACCATGGCTCAATTCTATGAAACCATGGGAACTGTGGTTTCACAAGGTGTTTAGCCTTCTTTGCCAATTGGTGTTGTTGCATCACCAAACTACCAACCACAGCGTTGGGCCAGGGTAGTTAAAGTGATGTCAAACCGCATTAATTCTACAGTGTAGATCAGGCATGGGCCAAGTTGGGCCCTCCAGGTGTTTTGGACTTCAACTCCCACCATTCCTAACAGCTTCGGGCCCCTTCTTTTTCCTCCAGGTGCTTAAGGGCTGAGGGGGGAAAGAAAGGGGCCTGAGGCTGTTAGGAATGGTGGGAGTTGAAGTCCAAAACACCTGAAGGGCCCAACTTGGGCTGAGGGGGAAAAGGAAGAGGCCTGAGGCTGTTAGGAATGATGGGAGTTGAAGTCCAAAACACCTGAAGGGCTCAACTTGGGCTGAGGGGGAAAAGGAAGAGGCCTGAGGCTGTTAGGAATGGTGGGAGTTGAAGTCCAAAACGCCTGATGGGCCCAACTTGGGCTGAGGGGGAAAAGGAAGAGGCCTGAGGCTGTTAGGAATGATGGGAGTTGAAGTCCAAAACACCTGGAGGGCCCAG